GTCGCTGCCGTTGCTGCCGCCTACAGTCATCAGAGTTGCTTATAAATGTGTGTATGTGTGTGTGTGCTCAAACTTTAGCCAGTCTGCATTATGCAACGCATTTACATACATATGAAAATGTGTGTGTTTCGATGTATGCGCATTTTAATACTTTCTTATTACCATTACTCTTCGCAAGTACAGTAGATTTAGTGGCAAGATTAAATAGTTTTCTATGCACTATAGCAAAGCGCACACCAACACATACACCAAGACACACATACATATGTATATGCAAATATGCTGTATTTCATAATGCCTAGATCGACACATATGGCACAAGCTCGATTTTTTTTTTGTTTTTTTTTTTTGTGCATGAAAATTCTTTGGAAATTCTTCGACTGCATTCTTCATTGAACTGGCTTATACGCGAGCAGCTGCCATTTGCCACACGCCACCACGTTCGCTTCTTGTCTTCTATGCTGCTCTACATCTTTTGCATCTTTCGACTTTTGTGCCTTTTTTCTTTGCAATTTTTTCGATTTTGTTTGCTTTGTTGCTTGAAGCTATTTTTCTTTCAGTCTAAATAGTTGTCAACATTCGAATTGAATTATTTAAAAAGTTTGTGGCAAATTTTTCCTCATCATTGTGCACAGTTTCTGTCGCATATACACACACTTTTGGCGACTACTGTTTGTGTAGAAGTTGTATGCAAAAATGCTTAAGCTAAAATTTCGGTTAAATAAACTTTTGAGTAAAATTATATATATATATATTTTTTTTTTTAAGTAAGTAAGGTAGTGATAATTTTGGTTGCAACCATACACAAAAGATTTAGGAAAATTTTAGCAGTTAAGAGCGTGCGAAATATTGAGACATATACAAAAAAAATAATTTGGTGAAAGTGTTGTGCATAATTCAAATTTATTTTTTAGAACAAATTGTGAACCCATTGCGCTCATTTTCGGTACTAATTTAATATATACTATAAGATATATGTCTACAAAATTTCCATGATATCCCGTTTACTAAATAGCTACAATAATATAGGTACATAGCATATCTCACATATTGATCGATAAATCTGATATAAAGTCCACCGGAAGTACAAAATTAAATTTATTCTGTATATGGAAGTATGGAGGTATCGGAAGTGTGTATATGGAGGCTAGATTAATACCCAGATCGATTCGACTTCTTACTGGTATCAGATTATATTATACTTATAGTTACATATCTGCTAAATTTCATTGATAGATCTGGCTTACTGGCTGATATATAAGACATAAAGTCAACCAACGGTTTGATAGCCATTTTAATGGGGTTACGAAAAGTCACAATTTGACATTATTAAACCGTGAACAAGGTATATAAAATTTGTCAAAATATTGGTAAAACCCAGAAAAAATGTCGAAGACATCGAAAGTATATATGTATATAAATAATCAGCGTATCAAACTGTGACGATTTATGTCTGTCTGTCTGTATATACGCCAACTAGTCCCTCAGTTTCTGAGATAACGGACCGGAAATTTGCAAACGTACTTTTCTCCTCAAGAAGCTGCTCATTTGTTGAAACCGCCGATATCCGACCACTATAGCATATAGCTGCCATACAAACTGAACGATCAATATGAAGTCCTTGTAAGAAAAACTTTTTTATTTTGACGAGATATCTTCACGAAATGTGGCGTAGATGAGTTTCTAAGGCAACGCTAACATAACTAAAAAAAATTTTCAAGATCGGACCACTATAGCATATAGCTGCCATACAAGCTGTACGATCAAAATTAAAATAAAGACTTCATTAAAGATATTACTTTCTTTTTAAGTGAACAGAATGCGTCTTTTAGATTATTTATATATATATAAATTCTTAACACGAATTTCCACAAATTTTGCGTTATTATTTAGTAAGAAAATTTACTTTCCAACAGATTTTTCCAGTACAATACTCAAGCACTAAGATGCGTGCAAGAAAAATAACGGTTTTACAATCAACAGTTAGTATAAATGAAAGTACAAAAATTCAAAATCAAACAATAAAAACAAACATTTATACAAAAACAACAAATATTTAAGCAAAAATTCGATGCTTTAAAAAATATTGCGTATACGCAGCGTATGCCGTAATTGAATATTGACTAAGTGTGCAGAAATATGTGCTATTTTAGCTCGCAGGCATAGAAAATTGATATTTCTCGATTTATCCAATCATAAAATAAATGTCCAAACAACCATTTGGGAATTAAAATTTAAATATTGCATGAAATCTCTTCAAATACACGTACACATAATAAATGCCGAAATTTTCATTTCTCTCTCATCAACCAATCATCGTCGTTGTGCATTGAATTCTAATCTACATCGGCCAGTGCAGTCAATGGTCATTGTTGTATTGTTGTGACGCTGCGATATTGGCTATCTTGATGCGCTTTACAAATGTTGGCACATCAGTGGCGGCAAGAGCAAACAAACACGAGCGAAAAAGTGTATAAAATGTGCATAGCAGAACGTGGAAATGCCTGAGTGTATGCATGAATATTGATATGCTGCCACAGCAATAATGTACTCTATATGCATGTGTGTGTGTTCTGCTGAGTTGCATTCCCCCAGGAGTCATTGTGTCTGAAGGTACATCATTGAGCGGTTATGGAAAATTCAGCAGATATATACATAGACATGGAGTAAAGTGTATGCTGGTATGTTTGTACGTTTGTGTGTGTGTGTCTGTGTGTAAATAAATTCTGAACATCTCTATAAACCGTTACCAACGCGTTTGGATTGGTGCATGCAAATGGACGGCGCATTTGGCGGATGCCGTACATTTCCGCGCTTCATTGTTGTTGTTGTAATATAACATGTATGTGTGTAAAGCAGAAAACGTTTTTTTTTTGCATTTTTTAGTTATTTTTTTTTTATTGGCTCTTTCTCCAGTTACAAGCAAAGCGCCACCTGCCACCCAAACTTATATTCCGCACCACGAACACACATACATAGGTAAATATGTATCCGTGTGTTTACGCGCTTTAAAGTGCATACACATGTTTCCTAGATTTTTTTCGTATTTTTGTTATAGTTATCCGCTTTAAAATGCGCATAGCCAAGGCGTATGTATGTGTGTGTGTAACTGGACAGCGAATGGAGATTGTGACAGAGAAGAGACGGAAAAAATCGTTTGTCGCAAGCGCAACAATTTTTCGTGTTGCTTTGTATTTTTTCTGGTTGTTGTTGTTGTTTTTTATTCTTTACATTTGTTGTTGTTGATATGCGTCACAACATCGCCTGACAACCTGTCACTCAGTTTTGCACTTTCCACTCAGCGTTTGCTGTGTAAATGTAAGTCGGCAAATTTTTTTATACCCTGGACGTAAGAAACAGGATACAGAAGGGTATTTATACCAAATATCTGTTGGAGCTAATATCGCTGACTTTTAGGGAGCTAGAACCCATCTGTATTAACATTGACACGAACAACGTCCAACATTAGTTTCATATAACTGTTTCTGCTCCCGAGGGTTCGGAAGAAATTCGAACAGAGATGCTGAGGTACGAGTTTATCTTCGCTCAGTTTCCTTTAAACCCATATGGAGACTTCGGGGTACCAGTTGCAATATATTTCGGCTTCCTTCAGTTCCATATAGGTTCAAAGAGAAGCTGTCGTATACCCTAGCACAAAAATTTAGCTTAACACGAATGAAGTTAACTCCAAGAGAATTCCTAAAAAATTACTTTTAAGAATGTTAGTAAGCTTTCATTCACTGAGTCGGAAAAGAGAAATTAAAGAAGACCGATTGAACCCCCAAGCAGATCCTGAGATAGGTAGGTTTAAAAACGCAGAAAATTATTTTTTAATTAGTCCAAATGAAGAATTAAAGAATACCGAAAAAAACAGAACTTAATTTAATTGTTTTCAGAAATTCAGAAAATTATTTTCCTCTAAGTCAAAAGAAGAAATCAGAAAGGAGCGATTAATCAACGGAGATCCAGAGATAAGCCCTTTTAGAATTTTAAAACATTATTTTTCACTAAGTCCAAATATAGAAATTATATTGAATTCCAGATCTAAAGATCGCTCGATAATTATTTTCAGAAATTAAGTTGGAAAATCGCTAGTTAATTGCAAAATATTATATATATTTATAACGTTATAACAACAAAAATGACAACTAGAGTAGTTGTCTGACTTTTTTCAGACCATAGAGAGTTTAAAGAGGGAAAGGGAGAGATGTTAGTCAAATTAGATGTCGTAAATTTCTTTTTCTGTTAAAATGTAAAGCATTTAAGAATCCAAAATCCTTCATTTGTCAGTTAAAAATTTAAGGTAAGTCGTCGACAACAGCCGAAAAGCCGAAAACTGATTTGAATACTCTAGCTCTCAAGTTGAATTGTGAACTCTTTTTTTTCTCTTTTTTTGGTTTGGTTCTTCAGCAGCCTCTAAGCTGAGAAGTATTTACAGGTATGTTAGATAATTTGCTTTCTACCAACTGTTTTCTTTTTCTCGCCCTTTTTTGTTTCCTTTATCCATCATGCTTGCCACCGCCTACGTTGAGTGATAAGGTTGTTGCACGCTCAATGGGCGCGGCTGGCTGTTGTACACTTAGGCGGCACTCAACGCTGCACTTCGACGTTTATTTTGCATTTCTACACGCAGATACACACACACATACATATATGTATGCATATAAAATGTTGATATTGTATTCGTAGCTTTGTTCCTGCACATATAAACACTCCACCGTAACTTGGCTAAAAGGCGACTCTAACGAGGCTAAAAACGCGCTTACAGCTGAAAAACACACAACCAGACGTACATATAATATATAGGCAGTTGTATGTGTGTGTGTGTGAATATTGTTATATCACAGGCTTTTACTAATGGCTTACTCCCGTGAAGTGTTGAAAAACATCGGTAAAAACAGATTTTACAAAGCGACTTACATATATACTACGGTATATATACATGTGTATATTTACGTTTATATAAATAGATGCGTTTGTATGGCCACACGTGCACTTACCACTGTGATGGGATAGAATGGATTTATGATGGTGAAGAGTAGAATGTGATTTGGCCGCGTAGTTTCCGGGCGTTTCCGTCGCAGATCATCATTGGATTTGTTGAGCAAAGCCTGTTGCTGACTCTGTTGTACGACCGCCTGCAAAAAAACAATAAAAATAAGAAGAAACATATTAGCATATACATTTGTATGTATGTATGAGCAAACATTGTGGTATTAAAAAGTTGCGCTTGCTTAGAGTTAAAATATGGAGCAAATATGATGGACACTACATGCTATAGTGATCCGATCTCAACAATTTCTTAGAATATTATGTCGGTGTCTTAGATAATCATCTATTTCAAATTTCACGCAGACATCTTGTGAAATAAAAAAGTTTTCTATGCAAAAACTTTATTGTGATCGTTCAGTTTATATGGCAGCTATATACTATAGTGGTCCGATATCGGCGCTACCAACAAATGAACAGCTTCTTGGGGAGAAAAGAAGGTTTAGAAAATTTTAGATCGATATCTTAAAAACTGAGGAACTATTTAGTTTGGGGTGACAATCTCACTTTTCACTTGAGTTTCAATTAATGGTCTGGACTTGACTAATAGGGAGACCTACCAGATATTTAGTGTCTTTATATTGTGTTATTTTTGGAAGCAGTCAACATAGTAATTATATAGAAATTATTTGGGCACTAGAAATTGAAGAAATACTCAAAAAAAAAGCTTAAAAATCAAACACAAAGCGTACAGAATATGGAAAAGAACACCTTAGCAACAGCAGGCAGCAACCTACCTGTGGAGATAATCAGCGTAATTTCACACAGAAATACCTAGCTAGCAATCAGGCGTTTTGAAAAAAAACGCTCAAAATATTACATAATAATCCGGCGTGCACATATATATATGTATTTAGTTGAAACGTACGGCGTAATTGGAAAAATATGTTTTCGAAAATTAGAGCAAAAACCCAATGCGTGTAGACCAAAAAAAAAAACAACAACGAAAACAGAAAATTAGGTAAAAAAATATATGAAAACACCAAAGACAACAAGCTTTTATTAATATTTTCACACATCTTTACATGCACGCCTGTATGTGTGTGTGTAGTTGTTACTGCTTTAATACACATGTATCACACACACACACACACACCAGCACGGTCAACACAGCAATCAGCTTGTATGAAAGACGTCAAACAACTGTCAATCAATGGAAAACATTTTATACTTTCATACAACAGCGCAAAGGGGTAAACGCGAGGTGGTGGAACGGGCGCCGAAGGAAATCAATCATCAGGAGCAGGAAAAAACTAATTTCAGCGTCTTTTAATAGAAATATGCTTTGACACCTGAGTGCTGTTTGTACATGTTTTAACAAAAAAAAAAAAAAAAACAAATAAGAAAACAAAAAAACAACAACAAAAACTAAAAATAAAAAATAAAAAAAATTAATTTCCAAAAAAACATATTTTCAAAAAAAAAAAAACAATATTTTCCAAAAAAAAATATTTTTCAAAATAAAATAAATATTTTTAACAAATTAGGTAATACAAAAGTTTAAGATGAAATTATCAATTCATTGAAGATGGAATGCGTCAAGGTAACTAAAAAATAGTTCAATATTTTCATAACATAATTTTTAGTGTGCGCTAGCTTTTGCTTAAATTTACGTGTGTAAAAAAATTTAAACTATTTAGAGCAGCAAAGTCAAAAGGAATTTTTTAAATATGTGAGCATAAAAATAGTGTTTAAAGTATTTTCGAAGTAATTTAAGCAGCTAAATACAAATCATACAAGTTAACACACAAAAAAAAAAAAACAAAAAACTAGTTAGTGACTACTTGCTTTGAGTACAGTTGCCTGATTTTCAAGAAAGTTATTTGGGACGCAAATACAGTTAAAAATAATAATAAAAATAGTTGAATGGGCAAAAATGTATTACTTTGATTGCAAGTTGTTACAAGCTAGTTCATTTGAAATTATTCTCAATTTTTTTTTTTTTTTGTTTGCATAGAGTATTTTTGATAATAAATTACAACACATCACTGAACGCAAAACTTAGAACGCCAATTTCACTTATTTTCAAATATAATGAAATATACATAAAGAAATACAGAAAATATGAACTGTAAATACTGTATGTATGAATTATACAATTTATAAGATACACAAGAGTTAACATATATAAGACTAAGTAACATATTTACCGCTATTTCTATGCATCTAGCATACAATAGTTGCTAAAGTCATGTCAAGTAAAATTTTCAAACAAAAACTAGTGTAAAGTTAACTAGTGAGATACTAGTTCCAATAATACTAGTTAACATATTTAAAATTTTATTTTTAAATTTCAATGGCAAAAGGATTTAAAGCAATTTATGCAATATTCTAACAAAAAGTAAACATTTCAATACTAGTTACATACTAGTGTTTTTTAGACCAGCTGTCAAATTTGACTTGACCAGTTGCAAAATATAGTTGGAACAATATAAGCTTAAATAAAAGTTGTATAGAACTCATTTCCAGTATATTTTACCCTTAGAATTACCGCTATCTTTTGGTCATTACGTTGAACAGTCTTTCTGCTTTCGATCTTGCTCACCACTCAAATAGCGAGTATTTTAATAGATACTTCAACTATGTCTGTTAATAGTACATTTCCCTACCACCTAGTTGAAATCTCTAATTTGTTAGCCACATTGCATAATGTAATAATTATATTAATTGCCTCAACACTTCTACTTTTTCGTTTCCAGTTTCTTGTTTTTTATATGGTACTAAATCTCGGTCGCGCCTAAATAAAGACGTTTGTTTCAAATGCTTTGGCTAAATATTTCTTCTACCACATTTTCCCACCAACCGCCGCCGAATGATTGTTGTGGTTTAATTGCCTGTTATTAACTCATTACAAGCCGGTCAAGCCAGCAGCATAGTTGCTTTGTGGCGTGGTCTCCGCTTGGCTTTGTCGCTTTAGCCAACTGACTAAGTGCGCTCAAAGCGGAAAGTAAGAAACGAGAATTACGAAATATAATGTAGCATGCAACAGCAACAACAAAAGGTAGCCGCTTTTTTTTGTCGTTGTAGTTATTTATTGCAGTCTTTCTTCTACTTTTAGTGTACGCTAAGCGTTTGACATTATTACGCAATGTGCATAATAAATGGAGTTCAGCGAAAAAAAAATGAAAAAACTTTATGAGAGAATGGCACAAAGCTTTGAAGTATTTTTTTAGTTCAAAGCAAATTGCGGTTAACACTTATGTATGTGATTTGGATAGTTTTGTAGCAAAAACTTAAAAAAAAACTTTACAGCAATTGCGTTAATTTGTCGGAAGATTATAGCGCTAAGAAATCTTAGGTATGCAAGAAGGTGGCAAATTTTCAGGAAAAAAGAAATATCGCATAATTTAATAAGAAAAAAGTTTCGAAAAATGCTTCTGTATCAAATGGCAACTCTCCTTTTTGTGTCTTAATATTTTTATAAATTTTTTTTTATTTTTAATTTTGAAAAATTTATCAATTTCTTAATATATTTTTGCAAACTACAGATTTTTTTTCTTTTATTTATCAAAATTTTTTATTTCGAAATGTAAAGTGTTTGCTTTTTTTTAATAACCCAAAAAAAAAAAAAATTTTTTTGTTGTTTTAAAGCAAAAAATATTAAAGTCAGAAAAATGTATTTATTTCATAAAAAAAAGCTGAAATTTATTATTATTTTTTTTAATATATTTAATTTTTTTTAATTGATGTAATTGTTTTAATAAATTAATTTTTTTTTAAATTTTTTTTTTATTTATTTTATTTTCTTTTAAATTTATTTAATTTTTTTTTAAATTTATTTTATTTTTTTTAATTTTTTTTTTTTTTTTTTTATTTATTTTATTTTTTTTATTATATTTAATTTTTTGTTTTAATTTTTAGGTTTAGTTTTCAATCTTATTTTCAATAAACAAAATTGTTTTAAATTTAAAATAATTTTTACTCAAATAGAATTTTTTTGTTATTTTTAATTAAATATTTTTTAATTTATTTATTTTTTTATTAATTAAGTTTTTTAATTAAGTAATGTTTTTATTAAATTAATTTTTTTAATAAATTTTTTATTTTTATTTAACTTGGATAAATTTTTAAAATTTAATTTTAATTAATTCATTTTATTAGTATTAGTTAATTAATTTTTTTTAAGTATTTATTGAAATTTTTGTTCAAATTTTTTATTTAAAAAACATTGCTTTGAAATTTTAATATTTTTTATTCAAATATAATTTTTTTAGTATATATGTACATACATATATTTTCTTCCCTTTTAGGCGCATTTCAGATACTTAACTTTTCGACAAATCCCACTTTTTACTCCCTTTTCCACTTTCTATTCTTTTAAGATTTCATACATTGTTTTATGCTCCAACTTCGTTCACAATTAGTGCAGAGAGTTCGGAGTTACAGTTCAAGCGCCTTTATTGTCGCCGCACACAATAAGTGCTTGACCCCATAATTTGTATGCAAAGACGACAGCAGAGCAGTCTTTCAGCGCGTTGAAGTTGTAAAAATGACATAAAAAGCTGCATAAATGGCAAAATAGAAGTTGAAGAAATTATGCAATCGTAAAAAGGAGAAAATTGCAGTAAACCATATAACGCTTTCTTTCAAACAATGCGAAGTGCAAAAGCGAAAGAGAATAAAGCCGGTAAAAGCCAGTTAAGAGAACAGCAGCTGGGCTACAGTGTAACGTAGCAAAAATGGCACAAGCGTTAATGACTTTTGGGAAGTGGTGTGGTTTCTGTGTGCGGCGCATAAAATTAATAAAAATTTACACTATTTCATCTTTGAAAATTTCACGATCATTTTTTTGTTGCCATTTTTATATAAAAAAGAAAAAAATTTTAATGCTAACTCTTTTGGTATTTTAAAATAAATTATAGTTTTTCTACGGAATTACAGCACTTATTGCTATCCATGTATAATGCATGTCTGGACAAGTTCATTTTCTCAGAGAGATGCAAGAGACAGCATCTGACCCAGATAAGCAAAGGCAAAAGAGACCCAGAAACACATTCAGCCTAAAAGGTATTTGGCTTGATGCTGGCTACAAAGCCGTAGCCATCCCTGAAAGCAGGGAGAGTAGAAACTGACTTCCAAGATCCATCCT